GTTCTCAGCACTGTTAATACTTATAGAATGGCTTTCTACCACAGTACTAATTTAACCCAAATGTAGTCCTACATGCTGAATGAATGCTTCACAATGGAATTGAATGAGGCTGCCAAACTCTGACTCATAAAAGCCCTCTGCCAGTGTTCACTCCAACTCTATCAACAGCCGCTCCTGCTTTTACTCAGAAACCTTTTCTTCGTCTCTTAACAGCTCCTCCTGCTTCCCTTTAGCGATCAGTTCTTTCCCCCACACTTACGTCCTATATTTCTGCCTTCTTTCTGCACCTCCCCACAGTTGATAGTGGTACAAATTTGCCAACAAAACAACATCAAAAAGACCTGTGGCAGTGAATCTCAGAACACAGATCAACTGACTTGGGCTTACACTGTGGGGCTAAAAATAGCAGCATGCTTGTGTTTTGGAACCCAGGCTCTAACGCAGTAGTCTCCAAACTTTTTAACCACAAGATTACTTTTTCATTTTAAGTGCAATGTGAGATCTACCTCAAACCCAAATACCTTTGCCCCACTTCTTTCCCGCCCCTATTCCATCCCTTCCCCAAGACCTAGGATTACGAGGTAGACCCCGCCAAAAAAATGGACACACTTGATCATGTGTGGGGGGGGGAGAGGGGCAAGGCAGGAAGCAGAGCTGGGGGGGCTGCGGGGCTGGCTGGGAGGAACAGGGGGGGAGCTGGGAGGAAGGGGGGCAGGAAGCAGAGCTGGTGGTGGGGGGAGGGGTGCAGCCACTGACCGCAGCCAGAGTCCAAGGGGCCACGCCCCCGGCAGGTACTCCCTTGAGTTGCTAGTAGAAGCATGCCAGGCTTCTGCATGCAGCCAGCTGGAAGGCGGGGCTGTGATTGGCACTGGGAGCCTCTGGTCCAGTGCAGAAGCTGGGCGGGGAGAGTGGCTGGGAGTCCCAGCCCGTCCCTCCCCCCAGCTTTTGCACATGACCACAGGCTCCCAGCGCCAATCGTGGCCCTGCCTCCAAGTCGCTCCCCTGCCAGGCTTCCATCCGGCACCTAGCCGGGAATTCAGAAAATACCACACATTGCACATGTCCGGTATTTTCTGAATTTTTCTACCAGACGATAGAAAACTGGACACCTGGCAACCTACCAAGACCTCACCCTGCCCCTTTACCCTCCTTCCTCCCCAAACCTCATTCGCTTTCACCAGGTTGGGGAAGTGGATTGGGGTGTAGACTCTGGTCTTGGGCCAAAAGGTTCAGAGTCTGGGAGGGGCTCTGCACTTACTCCAGGATGGTGGATTGGGGTCCAGGAAGGATTTCAGAGTGCAAGCTCTAGGAAGGAGTTTGACTGCAGGGGAACTCATGTCTGGGGCAAGAGGTTGGGTACAGGAGGGGATTCAGGACTGGGACATGGATTCAGGATGCAGGCTCTGTCTGGGTACCACTAAACTGAGACAGCTTTTGCGTGGTGGAACAGTGGGGTTAAGGCAGGCTTAATCCTGCTCTGGCTCTGTCCCATTCCTGAAAGCAGCTGGCATGTACAACAGTGACTCCATGGTGCCATGTGCTGCCCCTCAGCTACAGGCACTGAGTCCACAGCTTCTACTGGGCACCGTTCCCCATTACTGATCAATGGGAGCTGCAGGAGTGGTGTTTGCAGGCAAGGACAGTGTGTGAAGACTCCCTGCTCTGCCATTCCCAGGGGCTGCAGGGACATGCCAGCCAATTCCAGGAGCAGCAATTACCATAGGGATAATTATTCCAGCCATAACAGGTTAGGCATTTTAGAACTCATTACTCAAAGAATTAAATTTAAGCATGAGAGAGAAATGAAAAGTATGAAATTCACAGACCAGTCAAAAACCAAAAATAACACTCTTTGCAAGCAGTAATAGTAACCACCACCACCCACGTATGTGTTGGGTCAGGAGATGAAAGTGAAGGACAGCTGCTTTTGTAGAAAAACTTGCCAGCTGTCTATACTGGCCGCTTGAATTTCTGCAAGAACACTAATGATCTCATGTAAGAAATCAGTGCTTCTTGTGGAAATACTATGCTGCTCCCATTCGGGCAAAAGTCCTTTTGCACAAAAGGGCCAGTGTAGACAGCTCAGATTTGTTTTGCACAAAAGCGTGTCTAGATTGGCATGGACGCTTTTCTGCAAAAAGTGCTTTTGCGGAAAAGCGTCCGTGCCAATCTAGACGCTCTTTTCCACAAATGCTTTTAACAGAAAACTTTTCTGTTAAAAGCATTTGCGGAAAATCATGCCAGTCTGTACGTAGCCTGTGTGTGCGAGTGACAGATTTGCATTGCCAAGCTCCTTCCATTCCCTTCTGTGTGGAGATAGGGTACAGTAGTGGTGGGAGGAAGGACATGCTGACATCAGCACCCTGCCTCTTCTCCCTCCCACAGCCTGAACGGGAGGCTCGTAGGGGGGCAGCTCCAAGGCAGAGAGCAGAAGCATCGGGGGGAGGGGGGGCAACTGAAGTGCCAGCACGTGATAGCTTTCTGGCCAAACCAGTCAGGATCACCTGTCAGAGGCTCCAAGATCTACTGGTAGATCCTGATCTACTGGTTGGTGACCACTGCTCCAGAGGGAACCCAGGCATCTACCCAGATATTTTTAGCCCTGTTGTTTTTTGATGGTTTATTTTACTGTGTAGGACCCAGAGTGGCTGGTATGTGTGGTACCTGTTTCTCCAGCAGCAAGATTGCACGTAAGAGAGAAAACCAGAGCTAGAAGCTGCCTTTTCTACCTTTGCTGTTCTTTCTTGCGTGTGTTTGAGATGTTTTGTTTTCTAGAAAATGAGATTGGATTTTATTTACAACTACAACAATGATAGTTCCTGACCATCTCAACTGTCTTTCTCTTTCCCAAAGGAGCAGTTATTACCATCTAAGACTGCCAGACAAGGAGGGTCAGTATCATTAAAAACAAGTTTCAGAAAGGTAGCCATGTTAGTCCGTTTGAGCAAAAACAAGTCTGGTAGCATCCTATAGGCCAACTAATTGATCAGGACATAAGCATCTGACAAAGTGAGCTGTAGCTCACAAAAGCTTACATCCTAACAAATTTGTTAGTCTTTACGGTGCCACCAGACTGCTTGCTGTCACTCTTCACAGCTAAACAGAAAGGGAAAAGAGATGTTAAAGTAAAAACCTTACTTAATAAACTACATTTTAAATGCTTTAACATTTTTCCTCTTCTGTATATTTATTAAAGGGTTAAAAGGACTTTTAATCATGTTTACACTATGATACTAAGCAGGCTGAGGTCTCTTTATACAAAACTTTAATACTGTTTAATGTTGGACAGTTTCAGGGCCATGTTAACATCTTTGATTTCTTGTGTTTATTTAGGTGGAATAAAAGGGACCAAACACTGAGGATGAGATTCTGTGCCTTTGCTAGATTATCTCATTCAATTGTGACTCAGGCTATCCATTCTCTCATCTGCAAGACATGCTCACCGAACTGGGCTCCTCCTCCCAGATTTCCCTGGCAATATCAAGGATGCCACAGGGGAGGCACTCGTATAATAAGTCAGAGGTGAAAATGGATGGATGGATGAGGCCATACAACTGTAAATATGTACATAGTATTTTAAAATAACTTCTCCCTCACTGTCTGATTAGGAGCCAAAGAACTGCAATACAACAAAGAGGGCTGTGTGATTTCTTTTTGCTTCTTGATAAGCAGTATGGGGGGAATCAGGATCAAAGTTTGTGTTTGGTTGGGGAGTTTAATTTCATTGTTACCCACCAGTCTTGGGAGTATCTTTTTTCCCTTTTGCAGCCTGCCCTTACCTTGGTATTTCCAGTGAGGGCTGCCCTAAGCATACCAGGTCACAACCATCATTGATAAAAATCCTGCAGGACCACTGTTGACATCACCTGTGCAACAATATCTTTCTGTATAATAGCTGAGTACAGAATCTTGGAAAAATTGTCAGATTTTTA